TATAAATTATTTTTAGTCACCACCGCTAACTTTCTGAGAAAAGCAGTAATTTTGGAGTTAGTGGAATTTGTGTTGAGAGACGACCCACAAGTTGTGTGATGAGCAATACAGACTCAGAAATAGATACTGAACATGTACAGTTACAGATTAATCTTTTTCCTATTTCTGGGACAAAGTGCACCATCCTACACTCTGCAAACTGCAACCAGAGACTTGAATCTAAAATCCCCATATCTTCTTCATACCCTTCTTCGGGCTAAATAAAGTCAAACAGGGCTCTGCAAGCATGTGAAGTTAATACTTGCTCAGCTGACTCTTCAGGCTTTTCTTCTACAGAAGTGGTGCCTGAACTTTCCTGTTCTTCACCTGGAACTGAGGCACTTCAAGATGCATTTGTCCCATAGAGACATATTCCAGATTATACCACAAGCAGCTTTTCCTAAAAAAGGGTACTTTGGGGATGGGAGGGCTGACTGCAGCATGTGGGACTCCTTGGAGAGAGGAACCTTTCATTCTTCCTGCCATGTGCCTGGGTTTCATTCACTCCCATCTCATCCTACAGAGAGATACACCTGCTCTTCTGAGGGAACCTGGGTGGATCAAAATGGCCAGGAGAGGATTCCTGCCTGCTTGCCAGGTCAGTAAAAAACGATGACATTGTCTGGTGTTTACCAATCAGTGCTTATCACCAGTACAAAACAGGGACAACATGCAGAGAGGAGAGTGAGAGTAATGGTGTCTCTGTCTGTGAGGAAGGATGGGGAAATACATCCAGGAAGACAAAAATTAGTGATGATGTAGGAAAGAGAGAGACAAGCCAGGGCAATGAAGGATGTCATGATCTCCTTGCCTTTCTCTGCAGTGTGTGGGAAGCCGGACAAACCTGTTATTAAAGTCCAGAGGATTGTGGGTGGTGAGCGAGCAGGCAAGGGCAACTTCCCTTGGCAGGCTCTGACTGAAATCAATGGACGTGGAGGTGGAGCACTCCTGAGTGATCGCTGGATCTTGACTGCTGCCCACACCATCTTCCCCAAAGGGTCAGCAAGGAACAATGTAAGCCTAGATCAGCTAACAGAGGATGCTAACATTTTCCTTGGTCACACTGATGTAGAAGAGCTCTACAAGCTGGGTAACCACCCCGTACGTAGGATCTTTATCCATCCCGATTACAATCCCAACGATGAGCAAAACTACAACGGAGACATAGCACTGCTGGAGCTGAAATACCCAGTAATCCTAGGCCCTACAGTACTGCCCATCTGTCTCCCAGATACTAGCAACACCACATTCTACATGGACGGGTACATGGGCTACGTGAGTGGCTTTGGTGTGGAAAAGAACTTTCTTTCAAATCACTTGAAGTATGTGCAACTACCAGCAATTTCTCGGGAGAAATGCCAGAGTTGGCTGGATAGTAAGAATAGAGAGAAACCTATGGTTTTCTCTGAGAACATGTTCTGTGCTGGCTTCCGCAGGGAGAAACGAGATACATGCCAGGGGGATAGTGGGAGTGTCTTCACAGTGTTAGACATGGAAAGTGGTCGGTGGGTGGCTACAGGTATTGTTTCTTGGGGTATCGGCTGTGCCCAAGGCTATGGCTTCTACACCAAGATCCTCAACTATTTGGACTGGATCAAAGGGATAATAAAGGAGGATAGTCTCTAAATGTTCCTGTCCAGCTGAAGAATCAATGGTACATAAAGAGTTCCAGATACAGAAAATCATATCCGAAGCTTTTGTTGATGTCCTAAAGACTTTTCAAACACAGAGACCATGTAACCTTAATCACAAGCATTTCTGAAAACCACCATGTTATGTGATCAATTTTTGGTGGCACTATCAAACTTAGCACAACTGCTGTCCCACCAGTCTTTTTATTGGATGAAGCCTTGATAATATCAGAGATTTCATGGCAGCAAACATACTGTTGTCTGAAGTGCTGACAATGTCATCAAACTACTACAGTCTAATTTTGTAGGCCACATTGTGTGGAAAGTTTGCAGTGCAGCAAACCTTGAAGGATGTGCTGAGTACAATGTGCATGTACCCATTGGGATCAATGAAATTCTATGAATATTAAAATAATTGCTGGAGAAAACAGGTGTGTTATGTTTTTCTGTCTTTATTTTTTAACAACTACTATATACTCCCCATAACTGAAAGCAAATTATAGACTTAATCTATAGAGGGATTGTTTTATCTGCCACTGAAATATTTCTAGTTTTGTAACTGCAAGTGGGAGTTGCTCTCTTCTCATAAGGCTGTTGTTACCCAGTCTGAAACTGCAGATGGCTTCAAGGGAATCAAGATTCAACTGTGTAATGTCACATTCAGAAGACAAGGCCAGTCAGACTTGTGAAGAAAAGTTCCCAGGAATATTTACTCAGCAGAATTTGACAGCGGACTTTTTTGCATACTATATGAAATAAAGCTCTAACTGCAGAATAGTAGCTCTAAAATGATTCTGACTCAGAGAGAAGAACATGCCTCTGGTGTTGTGGATGTTCTCTGCAGTTGTTTCTTAAGTAGTTATATTACCACAGAACCTTCTTCCTGAGCCAGGAGAACTCTGGGTGTGAGATCACAGTTGTCTTTTTGCTCTGTTTTCAGAGCAAGACCTGTGATCCAGGTCCAGATCTCTAGTGTCAAGATCTCTCATTTGCTTTCGAGTTAATACACCCTAAGGATTCATCTGTGAAATTGTATGCTCGATATAAACTCACTCATGAACTCCAGAAATTAGAATTCTGTTGATTTTGCCAATTTTATGGGCAAAACAGAACAAAGGCATGTAAATGTAAGATTGCAGAATCATAGAATCATTAGGGTTGGAAAAGACCACTAAGATCATCATTACCAACCATCAACCCATTGTCACCATGTCCACTATACCACATCTCCCAGTCACGTCTATCCTTTTCTTGAAAACCTCCAGGGATGGTGACCCCACAACCTCCCTGCACAGCCCATGCCAGTAATTCACCACTCTTTCTGAGAAGAAATTTTTTCAACTATCCAATCTGAACCTCCCCTGGTGCAATTTAAGACCATTACCTCTTGTGCTATCTTTGGTTACCTGGGAAAGGAGGCTGAGCCCCACCTCACCACAGTCTCCTTTCAGATAATTGTAGAGAGCGAGAACGTCTCTCCTGAGCCTTCTCCAGAACGAACAATCCCAGTTCCGTCAGCTGCTCTTCAGAAAACTTGTTCCAGACCCTTCACCAGCTTTGTTGCCCTTCTTTGGACATGGTCCAGAAGCTCAATATCTTTCTTGAAGTACAGGGCCCAAAACTGAGCACAGTGCTTGAGGCGAAGCCTCACCAGAGCCACCTCCCTGGTGCTCCTGCTGACTGCACTGTTTCTGATATCAGCCAGGATGCCATTGGCTCTCTTGGCCACCTGGGCACACTGCTGAATCATGTTCAGCCGGCTGAACATAAGATGTCCAGTTCCATAGAAGCAGTGAATTAACCCCAGTCTTTGGAGAGGGAAGGGAGACTGAGGCATATGCAGTTAGGGAATATTCTGTATTCCAGAAACAAAATTTCTGCGATGCTCAGTGAGTTCAGGTGACAAAAACAACAAAATATTCAACTCTTCAGACATTGTAAAAATTAGGAAAAAAAATACTGAGAAGCCATCATAATTACCTTTTGCTTTGCAGTGAACTAGGAAAATTTGGGAATCTGGCAAGGAAGATAGACAATTTTCCCTGTTTCTGTAGAAACTGTGTCCAACTTCTGGCCCCTAGGACCACCCAAAATTCAAACTGTATGCCTGACAGCAGTGTTCAATTGCTTCTCGAACTCCAGCTGCTTGGGGCCATGCCTCCTGCCATGGGCAGCCTGTTCCAGGGCTCTATCACCCTCAAGAATGTTTCCCTATTCCCCACGTGCCCCTCCCCTGACACAGTTCCATTTGCTCAGGCCCTGTTGCTGTCACCAGAGAGCAGAGTTCAGCACTACTCTTTTGCTCCCCTTGTGAGGAGCTGCTGGCCACCATGAGGCCTCCCAGCAGCCTCCTCTGTGTTGAGCTAAGGGACTTGAGCTGCTCCTCCAGACCCTTTACCATCTTTGTAGCCCTTCTTTGGATTCTCTTTAATAGTTTTACATCCTTCTTATATTGTGATCCCCAAAACCGCACAGAGTGCTCGAGGTGAGGCTACACTAGAGCAGAGCAGAGTGGGATGATCCCTTTTCCTCCTGCCACTGCTGGGCCTGATGCACCCTAGGGTATGGTTGGCCCTAGTGGCCACCAGAGCACACAGCTGACTCTGATTCAATTTAATGTCAACCAGATTCTGCAGATGGGCTAAAACTGCAGTCTTAACTGTCCAGAAGGAACAATTCCCTTCTGCACTCCGTAAGATGAAAGCTGAGAAGGGCCCACATACAATTGCAACATGGAGGAATGAATAAAAATTAATACTAGATTGAAGTTGGCACATACGGTTACAAGCCCCACAATAAAATAACATTTTGCTTGTTATGCATACTAGAAATGGAAGGTGCTTGAGCTGAGTGCAGGAGTCTATATGAAGTCTCCCAGGAGATGCACGCATCATCCTCACCATTTCCTAGATTTTCAGAAAAATTTAAGCTGCAAGAGAAAGCATCCAGTCCAATATTCTGCTCATGGTAGGACTAGCTTTGGAACTTCAGGGTCTTGCTTGAGCAAGCTCTGTAGATATTCAGTATGACAAAGGTTCCCCAGTCTTCTGTGGTACATGTTCCAGTGCCCATTGTCTCTTCTCTCTCTTTACCTTTTTGAAGAATCTGCTGTCTAATCCTCTCCTAGGTAGCTGAAGACAGTACTCAGATCCCTGTCTTAGCTTCTTTGTTTTCAAGCTGAACAGTTTCTATCATCTTTCTTCATATGCCATCTGCACCAGTCCCCTGACCATCTTAGTCAAAAGATTACTGTGAGGGATTTGGATATAAAGTACTGTTCTGGAGCAGAAGACACTCTTAACACATATTAGATAATCTCCCACAGTACTACCTTTCCCAAAACAGGCAATCTTTATTTCTTATCTTAGACAATAAAGTTTGAAAAAATAAGCCCTAGGTACAGTTAAATAAGAGTTCTGAAGATATTCTGTTCTGCTTATCTTGATTCAGAAGACCTTGTTGCTGGTGGTGGTTGGTCAGTGTGCTGCAACTAACTCAGAAGAACTTCACAGAAACTCTTATGCAGAGAAGTAAGGTAGTATAAGTTAGAGCTTGACAAAAGCTGGCAATATGTTGGTTCAGTAAGTGACTCAGTACTTGATTTAGTTTCAGGGAGAGGAGAAGGACAGTACACACATGGGAAGCAAGTTTGGACATTCTTTAATGCCATTAGATATTCTGAACGATATAGGAAATACAGAAATCAGAAACTAGGCTTTGAACTGATCCTGAGACTAACAATTATTCTCTCTCCTCTTCGTTGTGATCTCCCTGTCAGGTAGGGCATGGGTATGTCTTCATCAAGTGGGAAAAATGAAACAGAAAAACTGAGAGGAAGCAGAAGGAGCCTCCTTATACAGAGTAGCATCTTCCTCTTATGCTTCCTTATAGTAATGCGTGGAAGAAGAAAGTGAAATCCCCTTACCAATCACAGTGACAGAGGGAAAAAACAATACGTATTCCTGACACTCTACTCACTCTGCACAGACACAGTGAGTTACCCTGTTATACATGAAAAGTGAACAGAATCATAGCCAGTCTTACTACCAGAATATGTAACCATCACATTTAGGAAGAGTGACTGTGCTAAAGGGAGAAAGAGCTAATCAGCTAATTATGCTGGGCTTCATCTCATGCTTATTCATGGTTTCTGTAATCCAGTCCAAATAACGCACTACTTTGGTGTAGAGACCAAAGGTACCACATTTTGGTCCCCAGGAGATCAACCCAGCCACATAGGACTGGTTGCTATTAAAAGGATCTTGGATGGAATAAGCTCCACCACTATCCCCCTTACAGCTGTCCTTGCCACCACCAGCACAGATCATATTGTCGGTGAATCGGTATGCACTGGAATCAGCAGGGCCCTCTGGTTTCACAGAACGGCACTTGTCCATGTCCACCACAGGAATCTGGGCCTTCCAAAGATAATTGGGCAGTCTTCCTTTCTCTCTCCACCCCCAGCCAGCAATATAGCCTAGAGTCCCTATTTGTAGCTCATATTCAGGTGATTTACCAGGAAGACAGAGGGGTGAGATGTTTGGACCCATCTCCACAGGTTCCTTCAGCTTCAGTAGTGCAATATCATTATCAAAATCAGTCCTATGAGAGCCTGTGGGCAGCCTCTTCCAGCCCGGATGGATGAATGATGCCTCTGCAACCAGCCGCTTTCCATCTTCGTATAAAGCTCTTCCACCAATATTTATTGTCCCAGCAAACATGCTAGGCATGTCATATCCGTCCAGCACATGAGCTGCAGTCATTACCCATCTTTCAGAGATGAGCACGCCAGCTCCTCTTGGGTGTTCAAAATACACCTGCCAGGGAAAGTTGCCTTTTTCTGCACGAGTGCCTCCAAAAATCTTTCCTGTCTCTCGGATAGGATTACTAGGTATGCCACAGACTAGAAGGAAAAGAAAAAAGAGGAACCAGATGGGAGAACTAGCAGTTACAAACAGAGGTTTAAAATCTGGTAATACTAAAATGCCCATAGTCCTCACTTTCTTGTATCTTCTAAATCATTTTTGATTCTGAGCAACTAACTTCTGTTTATATTCTATGTCATAGAATTCATAGAATTTGAAGGGAGCATTTACAAAGAAATTCAAGAAAATTCAAGCAAAAAATCCTATCAAACATTTAATTTAGGCTGAAAATGCTCATTCTCAAATTCTTGTTCTGTAAAGCTAAGCTTTCACAGCTGTTGTCAACCAATCAGTGTTGATCTGCCTAAGCTCAAAATTTCATTGCGTTGTAGTTAGCATTTTTGCTTTGATGAGTTATGTCCTATAGGTAAAAATAGATATTTTTTCAAATATTATAAAAAATAGATTTTTAAATACTTAGAAGAATGATGCTACTCTTTGAAAGGATTTGTTTTGTGCATATGTGTGAGCTATAGATAGTCTCAGATTAGGTGTTCATATGTGTTATTGATGTTTTTCTATTTTCCCTTTCCATTTTTTAGTATGTAAAATCTTAAGCAATGGGTCAGTGCAGATCTTATCTGAGTCCTCTGAGTGCAGAAATGCTCTGCGCTCTTTGAATAAAATGTTCCATCAGGTTATGCAGAATGTGGCATATAGGCAAAAATAAGGCTGGTCATTATTATACAGATAGGAAATTGATTACTTTTCACATTGAGCCCTTAGTCATATTGTCAGAGATTAAGGAAATACAGCTGGCAAGTAGCTTCCAATTCAAACGAAGCAGAAGAAGGGGCCTCTGGACATCTCCAGTTCAACCCCCGCTCACCCCTAACTGCCCTTCCCCACCCTCCTAACTGCAAAGCAAAGTTGCTTGGTGGCTCTGCCAGGTGACTTATGAGCTTTTTCAAGGCTGCTGATTACCCAACCTCTCTGGCCCACAGTTTCAGTGCTCTGGGAAACAAACATTTTTCCATAAACACTATCATAATTTACTTTGTTTAAATTTGTGTACATTGTCTTTTATTGTCTCTATGTCCCTCTGAGAAAATCTGGCTTCACATTCTTTGTAACCTTCTTTTTGGTTGAATGTAATTTGAGCTTCATCTTTCAATTTGTCTTTTGCACTGTACAGTGGTATTGTCCGAGTCACTGACTGACCTGGCTCGTAAGAGAGTTGAACAATCTTCAGCTGGGCTTTGTACTTTAAAATGAGGTTTTAAGAATTTGGAGTAGCAAAGAGGCATTGTGTACAGACAGCGGTAGGAATTCTGCCTCCATTAGAGAAGTTGTTAAGCTGAACAGTGTCCAGAATACATACAATTTTAAATTCTCTTTATGGTCTGAAAGTTAATACTCAGCCACAACTGCCAGCAGTGAGGAGCAGACATAGTACCCGTGCACTTTCCTCCTCAGTTTCTCCCATGAATACAATGACAGGACAAGAAAGTCTTGGATAGAGATATTGCTTAAGCTTTCAGACCTGTTAAGTGTTGCTGAATACTGAAGGACATGTGTTCCTAAGGCACTTAGGATTTAGATTTAGACTTCAAGTGAGAGTGGTGAAAGTCTTTTTGCTATAGTGCCGCATCACCAGTGATTGATGGAAACTGAACCCAAGGAGAGTTTGAAGAGAAGCTACAGCTCTCAGTATTGTTTAGGAGACACTGAAGAAAGAAAGACTTGGTATTGCTGGACATCTCTTTTGACCTGTCAGTCTTTTTGCTACATGCAAAACAGTCAGAGATCTGAAGAACTGAATGTACACACTTGAAGGTATGCAGAAACAGAGTAAATGAAAGAAGCATGGATCTTTGTTACTACGTGTGCATATGTATTCACAGGTTTTGATAGTACCTGCAACACATGTTGGTAGCTCTGTTCCCATTTCTTCATTGATCCATTGTCCACTGGCTGAGCATTGATATACCGCTTTGAAAACACAAGAAAAGAGTGCCAAAAGGATACAGTCAAGATGAAGAGAGTGTGAGCACTGTTATTGTATAAGACAGCATATTAACCTTATTTCCAAAGCAAGCACAGCTTGATAAATATTGGAGAGAACTCCTCCAGGGTGCTTCTGCCCCTGTTTAAGAGGGACTTCAGCTAATAGGCTTCTTAATTCCTTTATTTCCCCACCAGAAATGTGTGGTAAAAATCTCTGTGGTTCATACACCAGACAAATGGAGATGGGATTTCCTAATACATCTGAGGTCAACACCCCTATTATAGACTTATGTCAGTGAATTAAACACAAAAGCAACACAAAACTACTGCCTGCAACCCCACAACATAAGAATCTTGACTTAATGGTGTATAATACCAGCTCTGTGACAATGGCAGTACTAATTCTTAGGCCTTTCATCAAATAAATATGTTTCTGTATCAGACACAACACTTACCTTCCCCTTTGTTTTGTAAGGTATAGTAAGGTGCTTTGCAGAAATACTGGACAGTAGCTTTGTACAGAGGCTCATGAGGTTCAGAGATGTAGTCATATTTACCATTGTCAATAGGACTGGGATCACCACAATTCACAGCTGTAGAGAAGAAACAAAAAATCAAAGACATTCAAAGGGGTATCTTCACCAAACAATCTGATTATGCTGTACTATGGGAAACCACACAACTCTGTTGATCCCTGTATGGTCATCATGCTTACTTCCTCTGTCCTCTCAGCATGCTTACATCCCAGTCCTTCACTGTTCTCCTAGTCTGGAGATAGTATGTCTAGAGCATAAATACTCCATTAAAGTCTGCTTCCCACAATACAGAGACAGGTCACTTACGAATACAGCTGTAATTAGAGTTGCTCCATTCACCATTGTTCTGACAACTGGAGTGAAAAGTTGTGATGCTGTCATATTGCTATGGAAAAGACATGACACATATAAGTCACTGGCCATGAAATATATCTGAAATAGACACTCTACTGGAGGTTCCTCAGGATGCTGCAGTTGCTGAAAAAGTTTGCACTTGATACAGTTGTGGCAAAAACATTGAGCCCTTTTGCTCGAGACACCTGATGGGAAATAGCAGCAGGAAGCTGCTGGGAGGGGCAAAGAGGGCATATGCTTTTTTTGTGTAACTTACCCTCACAATTTCATAGCCTTCCATACATGTCACCTTCACAATGTCCGAGAAGATATACCTGTCCTTCTTTGGGTCAAGAACAGAATTGGGAATGACACTCTGGGGACAGGTTATGGCTTTGAAGAGATAAGAGGAAATCAATGATTAATTGATTCAAGATTTACTTTTCTTCAAGTAACAAACTTCTTTCTTCACAGTGATTATTCTCTCTAGTTACCAGGCATCCTCTGTTTAGTTAATAGCTCCTTAGCTGTGATTAGCAAACCCAGCAGCCTGAGCAAGTTAACATGCTATTGTACCATGAATCTGACCTGGGGGAAGGTCTTTCCCTAACTCGTCAGCAGAGGGAATGTATTCCTAAGTGTATACTCACGCTCAGCATAGTAGCGTATTTTCCACCCTTTGTGCTGTATCGCACGGTCAGTGTGGAAAATTATGTCAAGAATGTTGCTCCTAGTTTTGATTTCAGGAGGACCTGGGAATTTGCTGCCACAATAGGGACCATAACGCTGCTTTCCAGAGACAAGCTGGGAAAATAACAAACAAGAAGAAGTGATGAAATACAAAATGTATTCACAGAGAGATTCCTAATAACTTTATTTTTTTAGTATTGCCAAAAACTTTAAAAGGCAGCATAGATGAAATTCAAGTTAAACAATCAGAGAGTCTTCTGAATATGAGGACATCTGTGGGGAAACCCAGAGCATCCTGACTTCCTCCCTACCCCATACCTACTATTAAACTGTCGTGGCAAGTCCCTTTTGAGTCGGCTGGTTCCACATCAAAGTCTTCACTGCGTATGGTCAACGCCACAAAGTAGCCTGGCCTCAGAGCCACTTGGTACTTGCACTGTGAGTTCTCTGGGTACTGATTGGGGTAGTTTGGACTAGCAATCTCCCCTGATGGCTCAGTGAAGACACTGCCACTGCAGTTCACTAGAATTAAGGAGCAGAGAAAGGACTTGACTTAAAAAGGAAATGGTTCAATTATGAAGCATCTTCCACTGTATCTCCAGTCTCTTCAATCAGCTGCATTAACCACATCTAACACTACATTCTCCCAAGAAACTGAAAACAGTCACAACTCCTTATTCAGTTTACGAGGGACCTTAACTTCTAGTGGCTTCACCTGCCTTGCCTACTTGTCCATCCTTTGGAAGACAACTTCCTGGTGTCCTCAGTACTAGGGAACAGCTTCAGCATATCACTAATTTTGTTCAGCCTTGCTTAGTGTCCTCTCTTTCTCCCTCCATCTTCTTTTTTTTTTTTTAACCTTCCACTTATGATTTAGACCCTCTTCTCTCATCTGTAGGTTCTCATCTTATACCTCTTTCTGTATGTCTCATTTGTGACTTTCCAATTTTTTTCTTTTTTTCAGTCAAGCCAAGCAGCTTTGTGTTTTTATCTTCTTTGAACTACTTTGTTTTGTCAGGAATTAGAAGATATACAGAATGCTAAGAGGGATCTCTGTCAGTCCTTAGAGAATGTCATATAATACTTTCTTAATTCTCTTGATACACACACAAAAGGAATGTTAAGAATTCACAATCACAGTCTACTGCCAGGTCAGATTTGCACTGGGATGTCCTTTTCGTTATTATATATCTGCTGTGACTGACTGAGAAGGATAGCAGAGAAAGTCTTTCAAGCCCAATATCCCACTTGGCCTAAATTAACTCTTTTTGTCGACCACAACTCATGTAGATCTCTTACCTCCACATGTTTTCTTATCTTCATAGAGGAAATAATCTGGTGGGCAGGTACAGAAATAACCTCCGATATAATTATTACAATAATGACTGCAAGGTTCCTCCACAAAATCTGTGCACTCATCCAAGTCTGCAAGTGTGAGAAGAAAATATGTCAGGTTAGAAGCAGGCCCTAAGGGCAGGAGGAAGATGGGAAAGTGAAGTAAATACTAGCAAACAACAAGAAAAAAATATCTTGAAGGCAGCACTTAGACTGACCACATACGAAAGCAGTCCTGTCTGTTTGGATCTCTTTTAAATAAGACTTTTTCATAAGGAAACCCCTTCTTACAGCTTCCACCCCTCCTATGCTTGAACACTACAGAGATTCAGAGAAATCTGTTTTAACCTTACCCACTGCAACATAGTAGGCTGCAAAACCAGTGAAACGCTCCTCATTGGAAAAGTCTGATTGGAAGGTCATAGTCAGGGTGTTATAAGGGATATAAAATTCCTCCACAATCGAGGAGCCAGGGACACGACTTTTCTTCTTCCCACAGAGCAAACCTTCAACATGGCCACCAGATAAGATCTGCAGAAGAATTCAGAAAGGTCTTGTCTCGTTACTGGAATATGTGTAATTACCAGTACTTGAGTCCTCTAGTTTGTAGATGACTAATTAAAGGCTACTAAATTGCATTCATTTCTCATGATGTTTAGATTTATCTCTTAGGGCACAGCCATGTCACAGTTAGCAGAAAGTCCTAAAGCTACTTTTTCATCCAGAGATGGTCAAGGGCAGAAGACAGTCAACCAAGGTACAACTGAACAGAATCCCTAGAGAACAAATTTCTTGCCATATGTAAGATCCTTGAGGAACATTTCCTCTTACTGACTTCCCTGCTCTGAGATACCTGTTCTGGTTTTTCAGATAACAAATTATGTGAGAGAGATCTCAGTTAACAATCTTTCCTCAGGCGTACCTGTCCAAACAAATTAAAACTTTGTTTCAAAACCAATGGCTGACAGTCTGCAGAGCAGCCTAACAGGTATATTGGTTTCTTGCAAGTGGATATGCTATTGTATCCTCAAGCAAAGCACACCCATTCACCAATCCCACACTGGTCCTTTTCTAAGATCTCCTGGCACTGCACTTGGTCTTACTGCCCCTTTTTACACGTACCTATTGTAGGATGGGATGGTCTAATTTATGTCTCCTTGTGTGGAAATGTTAGATGTTTTGTGCCCTGTGGAACAACGGAGCAGAAACAGTAGGGTTCTATGTTTTAAATAGGTGCAAAAATTGGGACAACAGGCCACTGCTTTTTTTTCTGAATAGCTACTATGCACGCACAAATCTCTTGACTGTTTTTAACTTTGGTCATTAACAATCAATCTCCACTTTCATCAATTGTTTATGTTCACTCATGGACTAATTCTGAATAATTTCATGAACAGAAACTCAATGCCCTTTCTACAAGAATGGACATTTTCATGGGTTTTTGTACCTATGCTTTGCAATACAGAGGTGTTAGTGGGCTCTTCCAGTGGATATGAGAGCAACTCAGGAAGTGCAGTACAGATATCGTGCTCAGCTGACAGACAGTGTTCATATCATTATGAAGTAAACTTACATTAATGTAGAGACTGTTAGCACAGATATTTTCAGTCATTTGGGCTTATTTGGAATCATAACAGAAAGAGTGCATCTCTTCTTCCAGCCTTGAGCTTTGTATGCAGCCCTGCTGTTTACCTCGACTTCTTGTCTTTTTTTCTCTTGATGAGAATAGGGAGGGACAGTACCTTTACAGAGTCATATTCGCAGTTCTGCGAAGGTTCAAGATCCAAATGCGTGAAATAAAGGTGAATGCCATATCCTGGAGGGACCTGGATTTCCCAAGATTCCTGCACATCATTTGGGTACACCTGAGGATAATTGGGTGACAAGATCTCACCATACATGGAGGCTGTATCACCCCAGACAGGGTGACAGAAGAAGATAAGGTACCTGAGAAAAGAAGAAGAAAAATAACATTCAGAAGTCTTCTACATCTGCATATCACACAGTCCCTAGTGAAAAGGCTAGTCTTTGGCTGTGTGTAGCAAACAATATTGTTCCTGTCTTTGGCAGTCTAACAATCAGATGTGGGGCTTGTCTTCTCCTGCAGAATTTCAAACTGAAAGAGCACAACTTCCATCCTGATCTTTGCTTCTCTCCAGCTGTAGAGGAATGGCAGAAATTGCACAGAAGGGTCTTAAATCATATTTCTTGCTTCACTATCCTGTTTTGAAGGCTGCTTGGGGAATAGACACATTCAGATTCGAGAATCACTAGATCAAAAGAAAAACACCATTTATAAAATGAAATTATTAATAAACCTGCCCCATGGAGATTCAGAAACTTACCACATCTGGAAAAAGCTGATCTTCTTTCCTGAAAACATTCAGGGATTGGACTTTGCCTGGGACAAAAACCAGTATGATTGATTAATGGCACCTGTACTTCTGCATGCCTGTTACACACATCAAACACTCCAAGCTTGCGGAAAATTCATTTGCTTTAAATGCAAGATTATTCCTTCCTGCATACAGCAACCCCAAGCACTGAGGATGGATGCTGGTCTCACTGTTGACAAAATGGTGCCGTAATCTCTAGGTTGTTACTCAGAGGAACTCATGTCCTCCCTTTATGTCCACCAATGTCTCCAAAGAACATTACAGAGCCTGACAAACTGACAGAAAGCACCTCCCAACCAAGGGACCCAATTCGTTCTTCCCAGCACCCCAACTTGGGGGCAGCACTCACTGACCTTTCTAGTTGTCAGACAGCGACAATCAGGAATATTTTTGTTTCCCATTTCTAAAGCTTGCAATACTTACTTTCTCTCCCTAGTCCATGTGTTCTTCTTTCTCTCTTCTCTTTTTCTTTTTCCTTCCTTTTCACTCCAAAAGTATCCAAGCCTGTGGAATGGGGAAGAGAGCTTTCATCTGCAATGTTGCAGCACCCCCTAGCAGTATGATGTTCCAGCGTTCCCGTTCGGATGTGATTCAGGAAAAAAGCTTACCGGCTTTCAGCAGAAGAGGGAATTTCCAGAACAAGTTGCACAACCTTGTTGGCTCCAGCTGTGTGGGGGAGTGCACAGATCTGGTCCGTATTAGAGATTTTCGAGAAATCAGATGACTTTTGGGAAAAGGGAGGGAACAGAGCTTTCAGCTGCCTCCCATCTCTCTCTCTTTCTCCTCCCTCAGCAAGTCATAGATAAACTTCAGAGGGTGTAGAACAGGCAAAGTCCACACAAGAATGGACATAGGGCTCTTGCATAGGAGAAAATGTTTGATCATCTGCTCTGGAGACCATCTTGCTGGAAATCTATTCTGGGACTGCAAACCCATGGCCAGAGGGTGCTGCTGCTCCTAATCTTATGCTTGAGAAGTGCATTTAGAAAAAAAAAAAAAAAAGAAAGGGAAAATTAGTGGTCTTTCAAAGTCACACATCCCTGAGGATACCAACAGTAGTTAGCATGCACTATTTTGCTATTTTTTATTATGGCCATCCTCCAATGAGAACCACTAAGAAATCCTAACTATCTCTTTCTAGCTACTTACCAAGTGAATTTTAAGTAAAAGCAGCTAACTCTTCATCAGGCTTAGCCCTGGGCCAGGTTAGATCTAAGACTGTAAAGAAAAGGAGGATCCTTAATCCAGCCAGTGCCCACAAGCCAAGACTAAAATACTACTGTGCAAGCCAAAAGACCTGCCACTAATACTCTGGAAAACCTCGCCAGCCAGCTACACTGGGGCTGGACTGTAAATGAAGGTGCAAAACTCCATTATACCCTCCACGCTTTACAATCAGCACAACATGCTCCAGAGCTTGTTTTGGCCTGAAGAAAAACATTCATGTTTCAACAGGCCATAGGTAAAGTGTTTTTGCAAAGCTCATGTGAAAGACTGCTTTATACTGTCAAGGGAAAGAAACACCTACAGATGAATCATAACTGACTTCAATGTACTCAGGATAAAGGATTTACTTGAAGAACATGCCTAGTCAGTTTTATTGTCTAACTGAGAATGGGAAGAAAAAGAAAACAGTATGTCATCTTGCCTCTGATGCCTCTAGGGAACATAGCATTATGTTTTTAACTGGGATTTTAAGAACTGGGAAAACAGTGATGAAAGATACAAAACAAAGAACAGTGAAACATTTTTTCCTTGGAACTGGGCAAAACAAAAACTCTACCAGTGACATTTCAAGTCACAATCTCATTTTAAAATGGACATGACAGAAGCAAAAGAAATGTGTGCTGATATATTGTGCAGGTCTTTGCATCACAAGGGAATTGTGCATTTTCATATGAACCTGACCCTAGCTAGTCTGCTACAGTGGTCAAAATTGGTATGTATGTAAATATTAATAATTAGTAGGAAGGCAGTTACCTATTAATTAAGAAAAAGAATATTGAAGTTAGTGGAAAAAAAAGGTAGCTGCATTTTTTGTGGGCACATATTGCATAATGTTAATTATTCATGCAGAAGACTGGTTATATTAAGATATATATTTAAATTAAATAAACATACAGCATTTTTTGCATTTGTCTAGATTTGTGTTGCTGTAAAACAGCTAGGTCATATGTATTTTACAATTCACTGAAACTAGATGAGAAGCTACATTAATTAATAATTAATAAATTAATAATTTAAAAGAGGCAAAATCATGCCATCGAGGTTAATAAGTGCTTCCATTAAGGTTGTCAATGCAATAAGATTCCAGTCTGAGGCATACGCATTCTGCTGAATTCCTAAATTACGTGATCACATACTAGTTATCCCAAAGTGCTTTTGCATCCTTCATTGTGTAACACAAATCTTTTCTTATGATGAGTCAGAGCCATGTAGCTATAACCTTTCTGGCAGATGCTACGAAGTATGGTAGTGTTCAGTTTTTCATACAGTTATCATCTCTTAACACACCTGGCTGGTTTGTCTCCCCCATGAAGATGGAAGGAAAAACGGTTTTTCCTGATTTCTTAAGAAAATCCATATTTTTCTATTTGGAAGCACTGAGTCAGTGCATAAAACAAAGGGAATAAATAGTAAAAGAAAAGAAAATCCAAAACCTGACATTAATGAGATCAAAATCATCAGCAGGGAATCAAGGATAAGTAGCAAGTAAAATATCTGATCCTCTGTGACCTTGGCAGAAAGTTGCCTATTTCCCTTTCTGCTAACATAATAATTCAGTGAGTTTCTTGCTTGCAGCACATCCTCATCTTAGCTCTTGTGACCCAGGCTAGTTTTGTTGGTAGTGGTTAAAATCAGACAGACAAATCTCCCAAAGACCTGTCTGTGCACTGCCTCAAAACCCCTGACACCCACCTCTGCACGCTGTCCTAGGAGGTTCTTCACAGGCTGTTCATCTCTGTTAGTTACATTTTTCTCTGTCCTCCATACTTTTTCCTCAGCTTAGCATGCTTTTTCCTTATCCCAGATGCAAGCTTCATTCAGATCTAATTTTATTCTGACTCTTTCTCCCTGTCAGTGCTGAATCATAAGTTCCGGTTATACATGCTCTCCAGATAGTCACCTCCCCCCTCAGTAACCTACTCCTCTCCCACAGCCATTTAAATCAGGCTAGGCTCCTTGGATTGCCTGAGAAAAGAGGCACTGGCAAGATGAGGCACAAGATTCCCTTTTCCATTCTTCAGTGCAGAGGAGACAGACATAGAAAGTAAGCCTAGAGTTTGTGAAGAACTTGGATGGGGTTTTGTACAGCCGTGGCCTGCATGAACACAAACAATAAAATAAATTTGCAGAGGCTTCAGCAACTACATTTCTTTATTAATACACTGAGCCAACAGGAACCTTAAGTTTCACAATGAACAATGATGTAGTGTCACAAAATCACTATATACTTCCAAGACAGTAAAGAAAGATTTTTGGTGATGCCTCCTCCTCCTCCACCTCCTCTTCCTAAACACAGTAGTGCCCTGAATGTTAAAAACAAACAAACAAACAAACAAACAAACAAACAAACAAACAAAACCCACACTGAAAAATAATGGCGTTCATCATAGTCTGAGTCTCAAAATCAGCACTGTGCTCTGACCTGAAGCCCTTATATGACAGTAGTAAATTACAGAAGCAAGGAAGTCTAAATCTCTTTTGTTGTACATATAGCTAATGAGCTGCAAGTGATTTTTTCTTATTTTACATAGTGGGCATATCAAATAAGTTACTCTGTGCACTAAAGCAGTGTTTCATGGATTTGTTACCTCAGCTACTCAAGAAAATTAAGGACCTAGAAGTTTATCCAGCCCAGCACATAGTGCCTTTAATTCTCCCTTTGTCTGAAATCATAGATCAGACAGTGGACAACTTCAGGAGGAAACTATCAGAGAGAGATCAAAACAGTTCGAAGCCATTTTTGCTGGCTGCAAATGTGGCCTACAAAACCAGAGGGTTTGGGCTTTCTAGAAGTAGGAGGAGCCTGCATCTGCCAGGAAACAGAGCTGTGCTTGAGCCACAGATGCACTGATGTATGCAGAAAGCTAAATCCAATGCTCTAAGTCCCACCTGCAAGTTCAGTAGAGGACAAACGGCCCAATAAAAGGTGAGGTATGCTACAGAAACAGTGGCATGGTTGATGTGAAGTTACAGCCTCACCTCTGTAGCAAAGCCATTGGCCATGGAATCTCACAATCCTTCACGTATGACCTAATTTTTTACAGAAAAGGGGTGAGAAGGGAGGGGAAGAACAGGGAAAGGGTAAGGATGAGGGAAGGGGAAGAGATACGTGGATGTTTAAGGATGATGTTTAAGGCTCAAACATATGGCTATCTTTCCCTGTTATAGTTTCCCATTTGTGGCTACATAAAACTTAAAAACTAACAAGCCAGAAGTTTTATCTGTGCCTTACTGTTTCCATGACCTCCTTGGATCTTTCTTATATTCATCACTTTTAAACTCATTTGTGGATTTTACTGAAATGTTATAACAACAACCAAACAACCAAGCAGGACAGAGACAAGAGGTTATAAGTCCAGAAGAAGCATTAAATCTATAGGATCATTTAATTTTATCAAACATGGCAGAAAGTTTGCTTATGGAGTGGACTCACTCAGGAGTCACTCTCTGATCTGGCTCTCAACTTTCATGAAAGCTCTACAAATGTTGCAGCCCATTCCTTGTCAAATACAACCAGGGGAATGATAAGAGTCAGTATGTGCACAGAGACTTCATTAACTTGGGAAATGAGTTTGAAACCCATAAATTTGCACAATTAAACAGATGGATATTCAGTCACTTCTTGGGCTTTACAAAAAGTTTGGCTAACAGCAAGCAGTTAGGGTAAACATGACATCCTCTTTGTAAACTCATAGAGGCTGTCTGGAAGGGTTTCTAACCCCCTGCTGACTACCCTGGCCTACTGCTCCACACTCTGCACTGCCTGTAAGGGACTTGTGGAAGGCAGAGTTGAGACTTCCCCTCCTTCCGCACTTTCTTACTGCACTGATTACTCTTTATTCCCATTTTTCTCACTTTCTTGTCAGCCTTGGGCCCCTGTCAAGGTGTCTTCCAAACACCTCTGAGGCTGAAGATTTCCCAGGCTAGGTACCTCTTCTCACGATGAACAGCCCTTCGGCCTAATTGAAGTTTCTCATGTGACAGTGTGAAACCATGGCTTCTCGCTGTTTCACTGTGGACCTCTGAATCACAGAATCACGGAATCGCCAGGGTTGGAAGGGACCTCAAGGATCATGAATCTCCAACCCCCCTGCCACACGCAGGGCCACCAACCATCCCACCTAATGCCAGACCAGGCTGCCCAGGGCCCCATCCAATCTGGCCTTGAACACCTCCAGGGACGGGGCATCCACAACCTCCCTGGGCAGCCTGTTCCAGTACCTCACCACTCTCTCCGTAAAGAATTGAAGGGAGGTTTAGTGATCCTTATGCTCCTAAGACATTGTCTTTCACCTCAGGTGCAAGGCATTTGTTTTTCTGAACTTTGTGAGGTTTCTGTTAAACCGTTACTTTATTATTTTCATTCCTTAACTGTGCTAACTTCTGCATTCTGACTTCTGCTGTACTGCTCATCATACAGGGAAACTTGCCCTCTTTCAAGACAGTAGTTTTTTCAACCTATTTTTCTCTCTAATTTTGCCACTCTGGGGCAGGAAAAAGCATGAGGGGGAAAAAAAAAAGCAAGCCAACAATACATCGTTTACTGTGAAACTGTGGTGAAGCGGACAAATGATTATTCCCCTCCATATGGCATTGATAAAGCTGTGTCTGCTTCGCTGTGCCCACTGTGTGTCTCCAGCAAAAGAGAGATGGGGAGCAAACTCACCAGAGTGCAGTGGATAACCAGTACTGAGGAACCATTTTGTAGCCAGGAAAAAGGCAAGGGGGTAAGATTTTCAGCCTGGCTTTCTGAGTCAATGAGGCGAACGTGAGCACGTTGCCAGATGTGACACGGAGCGGGATCTAACTGCTGCTACTGGCAGAAGGCTGGCTATCATGGCGATGGAGCCGTAGCCAGGCTCTTCCCCTGGATAAGAAGCAATGGGCAGAACACGCAACAGATACAATTCGGAGTATAATCAGGAGAAAATAAATCTTCCCCACGAGCGGGTCCGTGCCTGTGCCGCCAGCTCACTTTGGGCAGGACTTAAGTGACACATAAAAAGGGAGCACGAGCAAGAGGATCAGTTCCATTGCACCCGAACCCGGCACTGAGCAGGAGAGCTCCAGCTGCACCCAGAGGGCTCCCGTACCACAAGCCGTGCGGCAGAGCCACCTGGTGACCGCAAGGAGCAGGGTGCCGCACGGACAGAGTCTTCCACAGCGCCCGGCGGGGGAAGCGACCCCCTCTGCGGGGCACAGCAGCTGAGCTGCCCTCTGGCAGCCACCGCGGCAGCTCAGCGAGGCTCTCGATCCCCACACGGCGGGGCGGCGGTGCCCCACAGCCCGTCGCCGCGCGGCCCTGCCCGGTTCCGCTCTAACGACCGTTAGCGCCACGCGCCTCTTGCCCGCGAGTAACCCCTACCCAACCACATCCCCTACCCCTCCCTGCCCGGCTCTCTCCTGTCCCGGCACAGCCAATAGGAAGGCGAACTCCGCCTCGCCGGCGCGGCCCCGCCCCCGCCTCTCGGGTCGAGCCCCGCCCTCTGAAGCGCTTTCTCCAATCATTGGCTAGCGGGGACACCTCGCGGCACCGCCCACTCGCGGGGTAACCTTTGCCTTACTGAGCGCAGAGCCCCGCCCCTCTGCCAACGGCAGGCCAATCGGAGGCGCCGAGTGGGCGTGGCCGTCGCGGCGCAGCCAATGGGCGCGGAGAGGGACGAGAGCGGTGCGGGGGCCGCGGTGTTGGTGCCGCTGCTGGGTTCCAGGAGCAACCGGCCGGCGGGGCCGGCGGAGAAGATGGCGGTGGCGGGGTCCGGCTGGAGCCTGGCCGGGCTGGCGGAGGCCCTGGGCTCGTCGGAGCAGGCGCTGCGCCTCATCGTGTCCATCTTGATGGGTAAGGGCGGGCGGGGCCGAGGGCTCCGGCCCCGGGCACGGACCCCCCAACCAGTGGGGCCTCTGCGGGCAGAGGGCGGGCGGCGGGGCGACGCGTGTCCGGGTGCTGGGCGACGCGTGTCTGGGCGCGGGGCCAGGGGGGAGAGCCCGGCACCGGGACCCGTGCATCCGGATAGCGAGGGACGGGCGTCCTGCACAGCGCGGGGTGGGCGCGATGGAGAGCCGCGTCCTGAGCGCTGCTGGGTGCAGAACTTTGTTGGCGGAGCAGAACAGAGTATCCCGAGCTGGGAGGGGCACGACGTGATCACCGAGAGCACCTCCCGGCGACACACGGCGCTCAAACCCCGTGTCCGATGTCCGACGCTACTTCAACTCCGGCAGCCTGGGGCTGTGCCCGCTGCCCTGGGCAGCCTGACCCACGGCCCCGCCGCCTTCTGGTGCAGAACCTTTTCCTAACGCCCCAAGACGTGTGCCAGGTGCTGCAGTACATCGGGTCCCGCAGGAGCGCGGGTCCAGAGAGGGGCGTGCTAGGGAAGCACAGGTGCACGGAGTTTTCAGTATGGCTGGGCTTTGCAAGGTCCTCTGTGTCCAGCTGTGCCACGCTTCGCTCAAGCAGGGACACTCAGAGTAGGGTGCCTGAGACGTGGCCCTGTCCAAGCACCTTTTGGCCAACGGACCATATTTGTGTCTATAGCAGCAATGGGAGTGTGCAGGAGTGGCTTGTGCGCACTAGCAGGTAGGGTGAGAGAAGCCTGCTGTCTAAGTGGCTAGAAAAACTGGCATGTTGTCCTGTGCTCCACCTGCAATATTGCAAAACATATACTTCTTATGCTTATCTGAGCATATTAAGTTAAAAGTCATGGGTAAAATGGTCAAGGCAAGGCTCGAGTCAGGATGTGGCTAATATCTGTGGGGATGTGTGTTAGAGCTCCCAAAAAATTCATTCAACTGTGTTTTTATACAGGCTGTTGATTGAAATCTCTGGGGATACCCATGAAACTTTGAGTTTTGGGGGGGAGGAGAGGAAAAAAAAAAAAAGGATGGTGTAATCATCGAGAAAGGAAATAAAAGCTTTTCTCTGAACCTGGAAGTGTATGTGAGGGGGTATGGCAGCTAATGTGTGAGATGTCTGAAAAACAGCTTTCTCTAACTGAAAGTGTATTTTTTGAAAGAGAGATAGGAAAAGTTGTATCACTTAGTAACTGCAGTCTAGATCAAACTTACTCATGCTTGATTTCATCTGCAATGAGATCAAAACAAATCAAAACATCTTTCTTATCAAAGGTAGATGCAGGAGATTGAACTCTCAGAAGCTGCTGAACTTTATAAAAAAGAAGAAAAAGTAAGTAATAGGAAACACATACAGGACATGCAGATAGGTCAGTGTGAATTAATGAGCTCCACAGCTTTTCCCACATGTCTCTCTGAGACTTTAATTATAAGCTGATTCAATTTACTTTCCTGGCAGAAACCTAAACCAGAAAAAGCAGATAGGCTACTATTGGGCGAGTCAACTGAAGTAAGCAAGGGACTTGTCCAACAAGAACTGATTTAGGAGAAGTGTTGGAAAGTGTTTGCCTCCACATACACATACTGTAGAGCGATGCATTTGCAGAACATGCGTGGAACAGTTCTGAGAACTTCTTACTTTTGGAAGCAATAAACTGGAACATGACATTGGAGGGCACTATTTCCTGCTTGGTGTCCTATGGGTGAATAAAATCCCTTATTAGTTTGAAATGAACAGCAGCTGATTTGCCATCTCAATCATAAGAAGAGATGCCCACTGCTGTCAGTAGATTAACTGAGCCCAAAACTTGTGGGTATCAAAAAAGTCTTGGGATCAGGAGCTGGGAGTCTGCTCGAGCCCTTTTTCCCTGCATCTCCAAAATGAGCAGCTCTAGCCTCTTGTTTCAGTATACCTTTCCCTGACCTTTCTCCTTACATCAGTGTCTCTTAATTGCATTCAGGAGAAGACATAACTTCAGACAGAAAGCTTAAGGGGATGCAAAACAGCCTTGCCTACAGTTTGGTCCTTATGCAAGTTGTGTGGGCAGTCAGGTTGAGAGGACTGGCTCCAGCTTTCCTGCTTAATGGATAAGTAGTAAAGCATTATATGATTGCATTAAAAGTAAGTGCCAAGCACCACTCTAGAGCAACAGGAGAGTGAGAACAGTTTCTTAACCCGACACTGGCATTAAAAGAAATGTTCATTTCACTGCAGCTTAGCTTACAGTCCTTGTATTGTTACTGATGGCTTTAAGCCTTTGGTAAGGAAACTGTTGTTGATGACTGCTTCATAGGATGGCATGGGGCAAAAACGAAAGGCGTTTTGAAAAGCTGGAAACTGCGTTAGGGTAAGCAAAGTGTCGCTTTTTCTTGACTTCCTCCATTTCAGGTGTTTGCAGGGATTCAGGAAGAAAATTGTTTTTATTGCCTGCAGCTACTACTGCTGAGTTGTATCAGAACAAGACAATGAGGATGAACTATGATTTTGTGTTCTAAGCATGGATTAAAAAGTTGTTGTTCTTCTCTCCTCCTGATGCAGTTCACCATCAGTTCTACTGCAATGACTGTCTCCAGGGTTTCACTGTTCTGGAGATTACCAGAAACTGACAAAAAAACAGCCTTCTGGAAAATGGGAAGAATTGCAAAGGACTTTGCAACTTCTTATTTTAATTTCTGGAGAAAGCTGCATTGTCTTTGAAAAAATATTCCGAACCAACTCTCTTGATTCAGAATAAGAATATTCACTTAAACATGATCTGAATTAAGCAAAAGGTGTCATTTAAAACTGTTAACAGTCTATCACTGTTGGTGGGAAAAAAAAAGGTAAAGATAAGATGAAACGATAGGGAGGAAGGAAGAGTAACCAAGAACAAAAATTTGAGTAATCCTAAAGAGCAACACATTTCCTCAGCAAACTAATGGAGATTGTAAAAACACGGTTCTGAGTAAACAATGGGGATTTTTGTCACCCCACAGTATTTAAACCAATGATGCACCTTTTTTACATCCTGTAAAGCAGGATGTAAAGAATAAAACGTGAGTGGAGTCCATTATTCAGACTGTACAGGATTAAAAACAAACTTCGGAGTTCACATGTGAAAATTTATACATACAAACTTTGAAGAAATTAGGCTGCAATTAGACAATATTATAAACAGTATTACTTTGAAGCGTAGTTCTAGTAGGCCCTATAATTT